GTCCCTCTCATCTTGTGGTAGGCATATTCACATCACTTCATGCTTACGTTGGGCCAGATACTCAGGTACTACTCAGTGTGAGTAAGGGAACTGGAGTCTAGCCCATTGGAATATAAGATTTTATACTGTCTATGATATTGATACACAATATTCAGTTTTTTAAAAAACAGCAATCTAATTGATATTGTAATCTACATTGAGCATAAAGGCCCCCAATACAGCAAGTCATCTCTCTCTATATATAGATATATCTATATATATCTATATATAGATATATATATGCATGCTTAACTTTAAGCCTATGATTAGTTTCCTTGAAGTAACTGAAACAACTTGTGTGCTTAAAGCTAAGCATGGGCCTAAAATGCTTTGTTGAATTGGTCCATAATTCTTAACTGCAAAAGTAAGACATACCAGATTTAAAGTTTTATAAAGAATTTTGAATAAATCTCCCATGTTTTACAAAATTAAAACAAGCGTGAATTAGTTTCTTAGATTATTATAGAGAAATGCAATTAACAACTGATCTGCTGTTCACTGTGATGATTAATCAAGGACATAATCTTTTATATCAAAGCGTATCTTTTTAAACATAATCTAGCCATAAGACATTTAAGTAATTACAGACTAAGAAATCATTACATTTTATCCCATTACTTCACTTTGTGCTACTAAAGTAAAGGAGAATCTCTCCCTGTTGAGTCTAATATAACTGGTTTCACAGTGTACTTTAAATATTATTCCTTGCTGTAAATAATATTGGGGTTAAAACAATTGTTTGTTTCAACATATTTTATGAATCAGTATAAAGATATATACCAAAAGGGTCAGATTTTCAAAACCCGGCCGCCTTTTTTGTGCCTGAAATTTGCAGGTGCATTTTTGCACCTCTATTATTTTGTGGACACAATTTAGGCCATTTGGATGCCTGATTAAGAATGGCAAAAGTGTGTGCAATAAAACCAAGGCAGATTTCATACCACAGTGTAATTATTTATTTATCTATGGAGACACTTAGATTGCATTCACTCACACTGGAGTCTAGGTATGGAAAACAAATTAAGGTTTACAGAAAAGAATTGTAATATTAAAAGACTCTTTACTGCTTAGTTTAGTCATTATTACTTGGATACTTAGGGCTATTTATGGCGTATAATGTTTCTCCTAAATTTAATTTACAGTGCAAAGCATGATGGGTAACTCTATGCTAATTATTATAGAAACTGCAAGTCAGATTTTTTAGCACTCTCAATAGGTGTCTCCTTAGGCTTTTATTAGTCTGCCAGAGAAGAAACAGCATCAGCAGAAACTTATTTCATCCTTCTTGAGGATCATTAGTACAATTTCTTGCTTTTCTCACAGGCAGTGAAAGTGTCAGCCTCGTGAAGAAACAGATTCTTAATTAAGTTAGGAGAATTGACAGGAAATATAAATTTCAAAGGTAAAATTATAAGGTGGAGCATTATGGGCAAGAGTGTTGGAACATTTTCATGGAAACATAGCAAGATGCTTTAGTGTGACATCCAAAAAAGATGACAAAGTGATAACATCATTATTTTAAGGGCCTGATTCTGCCACTGCTATTTACACAGCATAGAACCTACACTGCAGGAAGCTTTAGTGAAGTCACAGGGGATTATCTATGAAGTAAGATGCTACTCAATGGCAGTAACAATGACAGAACTGGGCCTTAATAACGATATCAATGTTTAGTTAAAACTAGTTGCATTTGAAAATGTGAGGCCTCTCAAGACGGCCAATGTAGTCTGTAATAAAAACCACTTATTTTAGGAACAGGTAATTCAGTTTATTTAAGGGTTTTATTTGAGTGTTTTTGTTTTGTTTTGTTTTACTATTGGGTAATCTCTTTGCCCTTTAAGATGATGTCAGATGAAGGCTGAAGAGTTCCTTGCATCAAAAGTTCAACTTCCTGTTTCACTCATGGCTGATTCTGAACTGGACATGTGCAAAGAGGCTTAGGGTTAGATAGGGTACAGTGCCTCCTGGAGGTCAGGGGAAAATGACGGCTGTGTTAGTTTTGAACAGCATTCAACCTGCGCTCCTTGGTCCAGGCTCCTCCCTGGTCCCTCTGGATAGTCTAGAGCTGTTAGTGACACTAATCTTTCACAGTCTTTTCCATACCTAGACTACAATTTTACCTGCCCTTTCTCAGGGACACAACAATGAAAGAGTCACTTGTGTTCTTCCTCCTCTCTTTTGCACCTGTGCAGGGTTGGATACATCAGAGCCTTAAGGCATCTGTAAAATCAACTTTGGTTACTTTCCCCGGTTGGAGAGTATAGAATGCTCACTGATATAGTAGAAAGGTGCAGATACAAACCTAATAAATGTAGGTTTAGAAGGAAAATCTTGGCAAGGGAAAATCCTTCTCTTCTCTACAAAGCATTAAAAAGAGTAGATAAAAATGTTCCTCAAAGCCTGGAAATGAAGGTTAAAAATACTTAAACTGAATTGAAACTAAAGTTTAAGGTTCAAAGCAAGTTCGTCATAGGTGGGACCCCGTCTTCTTCAGCTTCATGCTGTAGATGTTCTCTTCTTATAGGGGAAAAAAAAGTTACTACCTTTCCCCAACAATATAAGAGGATTCAGCAGATGCATTCAAAGGATGGACGTACATGTAGACAGATAGATAGGTAGTTGGTGTGATTCTCCAATGCCTTATCGCTTGAGTAGCTATTGACATGAGTACAAAGTTAATGGACAGTGGTGTACAGAGCTACCAAAACAGAATATTAGCATTTTACACCCATTTTCTACTCACTAAGCCCGTTCTAACTCTGGTGCAGCATATCTACACTGGGGATTAGCTACATGGTGCAGAAGCCACTAGTATAGACCTCCTGTTGGCTCAGTTTTACCCTGACTGTTGGGATCATCTGAGGCACCTGAGCCTCCAGATTTAAACATGAGGGGTCTGGAAGCAAAGTATTTTCAGTTGAAGGGCCCTCCTCATCTATGGAATCCACTCTCTGAGGGCTTGTTTATACAAACCTTAAATCTTAGTTCATGGCAGGCTGGGGTATAAATCTACCCTGCACTATCCTGTCCCACTTTAAGTGTCAATGCGGACCCTTCTGCCAGCCTACCACCCATGGAAAGTTTTGTGGTGTGCTTTGATTGACCTGGTTTTGAAACAGGAGTAAGTTAAAGCGCACTAGGTAGCGTGTAGTGTGCAGCAGCAGGGTCCACACAGGCATCTTACTGTGTGGCACGTTAGTGCAGGGTAGATTTGCACCCCAGAGTGCAGTGAACTAAGTGTTTGTCTAGATGAGCCCTTAGATTGGGGTGGGCAAACTACAGCCCATGGGCTGGATCTGGCCCACCAGCCATTTTAATCCAGCCCTCGAGCTCCCGCTGGGGAGCAGGGTCTGGGGCTTGACCCACTCCAGCTGAGGAGCAGGGTCGGGGGCCGCTCTGTGCAGCTCCTGGAAGCAGCAGCATGTCCTCCTCCGGCTCCTATGCATAGGGGCAGTCAGGGGGCTCCACTCCGTACTCTTCCCCGGCCCCAAGCGCCACCCACACAGCTCCCATTGGTCGGGAACTGCGGCCAATTGGAGCTGCAGGGACAGTGCCTGCAGATGGGGCAGCACGCAGCAGAGCCTCCTGGCCGCGCCTCCGTGTTGGAGCCAGAGGGGGGCATGCCGCTGCTTCCGGGAGCCACTTGAGGTAAGTGCTGCTCGGGGCCTACACCCCTGAGCCACCCCCCCCATGCCCCAACCCCCTGCCCCAGCCCTGATCCCCTTCCCGCCCTCCAAACCCCTCAGTCCCAGCCTGGAGCACCCTCCTACACCCCAAACCCCTCATCCCCAGCCCCACCCCAGAGCCCGCACCCCCAGCCAGAGCCCTCACCTCGTCCCGCACCCCAACCCCAATTTTGTGAGCATTCATGGCCCGCCATACAATTTCTATACCCAGATGTGGCCCTCAGGCCAAAACGTTTGCCCACCCCTGCCTTAGATTGAGGCCAAGTTTGCTGAATTGTGGGTGTTGGAAGGAAAAGGTACAGTTTTTGGCTGAAAAGTTTATTTTATTGAAGCCACCTTATCAATAGCAGATCAGCCTGGTAATGACTTGATTCTTGCATTTTAATCTTTGTATATGCACTTTGTGAAATTAGATCAGCACATTTTATAAATGTAAAATAAATAAGCCACAGCAAATTCTCTGGTTCTGGTTACCTCAGACAAGACATCACAGAGACATAGGTTTAATAGTGGTAGTGGGTTTACCATCTGTCACCGTGCTTAAAAACCTGACTCTAGGATTACAAGTTTAACTCTTTACAAGGATTTTTAAAAAAAATTCTGGTGTGGAAACAGATAGTTGATGGCCAATTCCTGAATTCCTGCATTTTGTAAAGATTCCCCATAGCAAAGAATTCATACTGTAGCACAAACCTTCACCATAGATTATGAAACAGCATTTATTTGGCCAGCACGATGCTCCAACAGGGTTTGGGAGTAGCTGGGATATCACCAGTTTAGTTTATGTTGGGGCATCACATGACGCATGAACTGGCAAACATGACTGTAGATGACATCAATAGAGATGGCCTGAGGCACTAAATTCAGATCTGGATCTTCATTATGAAACATCTCCTTCCTCTACAAAATTCTGGGGTTCATTTGGCTCCATGTGGATATAGTCAGCGAGAAATTTGGATCTGGATCTGGGTTTGCAGTCCAAGACTTTCTCCCACACCAAATTCAGAGCTGTTTGGATCAGGAGTTTTGGATCTGGCTAATCTCTAGTAAAAGCTGTGGGAAATTTATGTGCAGAATTTTCCTTCTACCCCTGTTTTTTGGAGAAATCAGACCACAAAGCAACAGATACTGATTTATTTTTTCTTTTCTTTTTTAAGTTCTTGAGGTCAACTTTATGAGGAAATAATTTACTGTTTTTAAAATTATATTGCCTCAAGTGAACACTTAAAGCACATGGTCTAATAGTAAATTAATTCTATTTTTCTTTTCTTTCAGGACTGAAAGATACAGCGTCTTATATGACCTGTGGGTTTGAGAAGTGAAGAATAACTCTGATCACAGGGTGACTCGTTATGTCTATGTTGTGATGGAAAAATGAAAGCATCTAGAATACAGCATTTTTTATACTTCTGAAACTGCCTTTGACTACAACATCTATTCCCTTAAAAACACACACGCAAAATGTCAGAACTTGACCCTTCATCTGGATTAGTAGGAAACATGGAAAATGGGACTTTTCTGGAGCTATATCCCACATCCCTGTCAACTTCAGTGGATTCCTCATCTGGCCGCTTATCAAATGTCTATGTCTATGTTTCTATATTTCTCAGTCTCTTAGCATTTCTTCTTTTGCTATTAATCATTGCACTTCAGAGGCTGAAAAACATCATCTCTTCCAGTGCCTCCTACCCAGAATACACTAGTGATGCTGGAAGTTCTTTCACTAATTTAGAAGTTTGTAGTATTTCTTCCCAGCGATCTGCTTTCTCAAACCTTTCTTCATGAAAAGAAATGAAGGAAATACATTGGGAATGGAACAACTTTGTCCAGCTTTTGAGGGAAATAGTGCATGCAATGTTTACCATTGAGGACTATTAATCATGAAAGAGGTGACTTAAAGTTCTCTTTGATTTTTCTTTCTCTTTTTAGTTTCCATTTTCCCTTTTATTAACAATGCTTTTCATCTTGGAGCATAGAAAATGGCATCTGGTCGTAGCTTCATGTATGTACTGGTAATGCTGCCTTTCTCTCATACATATACACATCCATTCATACCCACCGTCTTCCTGCCAAATTTAAATATGGTTCTAGGTGGATGTTCTAATTCTTCTCTGCAGTTGTATCCCTCTTACCTGGATTTCCCTTTGTTAGTGTGTCGTTGACTTTTCACTGGATAGCGCCTTCTGGACAAGATCGCTTTCACAAAAATGCCACCACACTGATTTAATAGACAAATTGGCGCCTTGGCTAATTTTAAAGTTGTTGGGTGGGGTTTTTTGTTTGTTTGTTTTGTTTTTAATTGTGATGTCATTTCAGTATTTAAATTATGTTATTAAAACAAAACTAAAATAATTCTTTTGTTAACAAACATTAATTTTGTCTATGTATACCTATTCATTGAATCTTTCTGTATAAAGCCTCTACAAGTCAACTTTCACATACACTTTGACATATTTGCTTAATTTTATTTAGCAAAAGCAACTAGAATAAATATGCACAGTTGTAAACTCAAGCTGTACTGTATGTTGTAAAGATATTTTTAGAACCTACTTGCATGCAGTTGACAGGACTACCTGCTTCTCAGGGGGATGGTTTCTGCCTCTGCATCACAAATACAGCACACCTCCTTTCCACACTTCAGTGCTACTTTAGCTTATTGTTAATGGAGCAAATACAATCTGAGCAGCCTTTTCTCTCCTTGAGAGACACATAACTCCCATTACTGTTGCTGGCAGCTGATTGCCTGTATTAAGAGCCCTTATAGGCATGAGGAGTTCTTACCTCAGTGGAGCTACTTACATCGGTCAGAACTAGTGAAGAGCCAGATTCTGCCTTCTCCTTACATGGATGCACAGTGGGGTGGCAGAGCAAGGCGAATCCTTCTTGGTATGGCCTTGTAAGGGCCAGGCAATGTCACAGTCCCTTCACAGAGCCTGCTCTCTCCCTACTCCACCAGTGATGCACAGTGTCCCAATGAGGATAAGAAGAGCTGGGGGGAGGTGAGGCCATGGCCCAGCCTCTCCTCCACACTATGGAATGGGCTCAGTATGCATGGTGGGAGAATAAGCTGTACCCCATTAAGAGGTGTAGTAGTGGGCATGCCTTCCTCCTGCTCTAGGGAGTTCAGAGTCACATATGTTGAGCCTAGATGCCTCCCAATGCTCCACACACCCCCATAGTTTGGGCTGTGCTGAAATGGCATAACCTAGCCCCAGGGGAATAGGGGTTTACAGGACTGATCCCAGCATAGAGAACAGACCCATACACACTTACATAATTGGTATGATATACTCTCAGTAACTCTCCATTGTGTCCAAATGTAATACAGTAGCTTCCTTGATTAAAACAGAGTCCTGTATTCGGTTACTGTCATAAAGCAATTATTATTATTGCAAAGCAGAATTCTATGAGGTCTCCAGCACACCTGACGTGGGTTTAGTCCCATTAAATTGGCAGTGATATGATATGGAATGCAAAGATTGGTTTGTTATTGCAGCCTCCAAATTGTTCCAGGTTATTACATTATAGCATCATTACAGAACGTGATCCAATGGGAATAGTTGTACGTTGGGCTCAATCCTGCTTCACCTAAAGTCAATGGGTGCTTTGCCCTTGAGCAAGATCCAACTCAGTTAAAGGACTATGAGAAGAACAGAGACATGTCATCGCTGGTTTTAACTAGCAGAGCTGCACTAGTAGCTCTAACTGACTGGTGTTACCGTTCCCCTTACAAACGGTGTGCCCGATCCTGCAGAGGTCTGTGCGCCTCCTGCAAAGTACCAGCACCCTCCACACCCGTCACCCCGCATCTCTCAAGAGATAATTGGATCCTTGGAGGATCAAGTCATGTATTATTTGGCCAGCATGTTGTTAAAGTTAAGGAGTTGTTGGTATATTACAGCCTATGGGGTCACAGCTGAACATGGAACACTCCACAACTTTTTAAAACATTTTTATCCTCCAGGTTATCAGTTTGCTACAGGCAGGACACATATCCCAACATCCAACATTAATTGGATACTCTATGAAAATGCAGGTTTTTTACCATCAAATGTAAATGTAGTAATTAGAAATATCATTATTCAGTGCCAAACAAGGGCAGATTAAATTGGAGTTGGTGTTTTCAACTTTTAAAAATTAATGTATTATACATTATGTATGTATTATAGATTCTTATAAGAGCCAAAGCATTTTGTTGCAAAATAAAGACCTTAAGTCACTGGGATTGCTGATCCACTCTGCTTTTATAAAGCTATTTAGTCTCTCAATTACTCTATTCATCCAGACATAGTTTTCCTGAAACAGATTCACTCAATTTTCACTAGAAACCGGTAAAAGGACATGGGGAACTACTAAGTTATTTATTTGAAGTTGAACAAGAAGTAACGTTTCCTTTATGAAAGCTGTTTAAGATCCCAAAATCTGTAACCCAATGTGTTTGTGTGTAGACTTCTAAATACAAATAAATTAACTTTAAAACAAGACAGCTGAAAACCAGCTCCATCTTCATTTACCTGCCAACGCCTGAATTCAGTCGCCTGTGTCTCCTTTGCAGCAAATGAGGTTAATACCCATATAAAAAATGGAGGTGGGAGCCGCAGCATGAAAATGGGTAATATTATCTAAGGGTATGTCTACACTACAAAATTAGGTCGATTTTATTTAAGTCGACATTGAGCCTCCAATTTAAGTCAGTCGATTCTGCATGTCCCCACTATGCACATTGTGTCGCGGAGCACATCCTCACTAGCAGGGCTTGCATCGACGCACGGAGCACTGCACTGTGGGTAGCTATCCCACAGTGCATGGAGCCGAGTGGAATGTTGGGTTGGGCTTGCAAATGCCTCATGGGACCAAAACATTTGCGCGGGTGGTTATGGGAACATGGCATTAGCTTCCCATGATGCACTTACCTCCCTCACTCCCTCCTTGAAATCAACAGCAAACAAACCAAGCCCTTTTCGTGCCTTTTTCCCTAACCCTGGGTTACCTGCGCAGACGCCATAGCACAGCAAGCATGGACCCCACTCAGCTGTACACTGTTGTTTTGAGCATTACAAACACCTCATGCCTTATCCTGCAGTATTTGCTCAGCTGATAAAGGAGCCGCCACGCAGAACAATGTGATGCCATGCAAGCAGCCCTGCTAGAAGCCATGGAGCGGAGCAATTTGCAGATGCTGGTGACAGTTGTGCATCACCTTTACATGGTGGAGCGCTGCTTCTGGGCCCGGGAAACAAGCACTGACTGGTGGGACCACATAGTTATGCAGCTGTGGGATGATGAGCAGTGGCTGCAAATGCGCAAGGCCACTTTCATGGAACTGTGCGAAGAGTTTTCCCCAGCCCTGAAGTGCAGCAATACTAAAACGAGAGCTGCTTTGACAGTTGAGAAGCGAATGGCGATAGCTCTGTGGAAACTTGCAACGCCAGACTGCTACCGGTCAGTGGGGTATCAATTTGGAATGGGTAAATCTACTGTGGGGTCTGCTGTGATACAAGTTTCCAGGGCAATCCACAGACTTCTGCTAAGAAGGGTAGTGACTCTGGGCAACATGCAGGACATAGTGGATGGTTTTGCCGTGATGGGGTTCCCTAACTGTGGTGGGGCGATAGACGGAATGCATATCCCTATCTTGGCACCTGACCACCTTGCCAAAGAGTACATAAATCAAAAGGGTACTTCTCAATGGTGTTGCAAGTGCTGGTGGATCACAGGGGCTGTTTTAACCATCAACGTGGGATGGTCGGGAAAGGTGCATGACACACGCATCTTTATGAACTCCGGTCTGTTCAGAAAGCTGCAAGCAGGAACTTTCTTTCCAGACTGCAAAACAACCATTGGTGATGTTGACATGCCAATTATGATCCTGGAAGACCCAGCCTATCCCTTGCTCCCATGGCTCATGAAGCTGTACACAGGCAGCCTCAACAGCAGTAAGGACTGGTTCAACCATAGGCTGAGCAAGTGCAGAATGGTGGTGGAATGTGCCCTTGGGTGTTTAAAAGACCCCTGGTTTAGTCTGCTTACTAGGTTAGACCTCAGTGAAAGTGATATCCCCATTGTTATTGCTGCCTGCTGTGTGCACCATAATATCTGTGAAACAAAGGGAGAAAAGTTTCTGGCGGGGTGGGAGGTGGATGCAGATCGCCTGTCAGCCAATTTTGAGCAGCCAACCACTAGGGCAATAAGAAGAGCACATCGAGGCACTCTGCATCTCTGTGAGGCTTTGAAAACTAGTTTCATCAATGACCAACAGTAATGTGACACTTATGTGTGTTGTTCCTTACCTAGCTGTCCCCTTCATTGCATGTACTCCCCTGTAAACTGCACCCCGCTAACTGCTGTGTGCTGAATGAATAAAGAGCCTTTTCTTCTCAATCCATTAAGTTTTATTATGTTCACAAACACTGAGAGACAGCAAAGAAAAGTAAGATAACCTGGGGCAAAATGGCTGATAACACTGAGGGGGCGGGGGAAACAAGGACAGCTTGCTTACAATTGCACTGCAACAACCATCAAAGGCGTGGGAATGGGCGCATTCTGGTCCTTGTACCCTCCCCTGGAGTTGAGTGCAAGGGATACCAAACTCCTCGCCTCATAGAACGCCTCATAGGAGAAGTGGATTTGGAACTTGGCAATGATAGCAGCAGGTTCAGCATAGGCTACAGTGGGACTCTAGCATCCAGCTGCCTTTCTTGAACCTCAACCAGATGCCCCAACATGTCTGTTTGCTCCCTCATAATCCGCACATCTCGTCCTGCGTGTCACGCTTGTGTTCCCTGCATGGTCTCCTGTCCTCGCAGTCATTGTGCAGGCTCTCCGACAGTGCAATCCTCCATGTGCTGAGCTCCGTCTCGTCACGCTCAGAGGCACGCATTAAC